TATATATGAATATATAAAAAATATATCAAAATGCGTGTGGGTACTCAAATGAAAGCTCTTGATGAGTGTAACATCAGGATGAGCTTATATCTTAAAAAATGTCAATATTTAAGAAAGTACAGTGCAATTCAACATTTAATAAAGCAAAATTTTTATTTCTAATTCACGTCACAGCAGTCACGTACTGACTGCAAGGTTGCTACTTTAAATTATTTATTTATTATTTCTGTAAAAGTGTGTATTATATGTAATTAGATTATTATTGATTATAATTATAAAATTATAGCCAATAATAATAAACTTCTATCAAACTTATTAAATCGGCAAATTAAATTTTAAAAAAAGTTAAAATGATCCATTCGGATGTTTCAGGCGAAAGACCGTACAAATGTCACTTACCAGATTGCGGTCGCGCATTTATCCAGCTGTCGAACCTCCAGCAACACCTGAGGAACCACGACGCCCAGGTAGAGCGAGCCAAGAACAGACCCTTCCACTGCAGCATCTGCGGAAAGGGATTTGCCACCGAGTCAAGCTTGAGGACCCATACGTCGAAGGTCAGTCATGTATGTACCAAACAATGATAAATCCGACGTCCACTTTTTTTTAATTAAGTTCTAACCCAGGACATGTGATTATTGCTACTTTTTGATTCTATTTTTTTAAATAATTTTTTTTTTTGGAAATTTAAAACTTTCGAAAGTGAGAAGGAGAAAAATTATCTGCAATAATCACCTGTCTTATATATATTACTAACTTATAATATATATCATTTTGTACATAATCATGCAATTACGCACTAACCGGCCAGCGCAATTTTCACACGTTTATTTTTTTATTTTTATACTAATTTTTTCTTTATTCTTTATTTGGTGCCGGCTTCTTTTTAATTTTCTTTTTTATGCTTCGCAATTATAATTAATTAATTTTGACACTAATAGGGTTGTAAATTTATTTTTGGAATATTTTTAGAGTCATAAATTATAAATCAAATTTGGGATCAATAATAAATAAATTAATTTTTTTACTAAATTTTTGGGGTCAAAAATTAATAAAATAATTTTTGAACTGATATTAAAGCTCAAAATTTGAAAAATTGATTATTAAGGTTAATTTCGAGTCTAAATTTGAGAAAATTTGATTTTTTTATATTGATTTTGGAGTCTATAATTGAAAAATTGATTTTTTGGTTAAATTTTGGAGTTGAAAATTGAGAAATTAATTTTTTAGTCAATTGCTGGGGTCACAAATTGAATAATTAATTTTTTTTATCAAAATTTTGAAGTCAAATAATTGTAAAAATTGATTTTTGACTAAATTTTCGGCTAAATAACTGAAAAATTGATTTTTTGATCAAATTTTGGGCTCAAAAATTAAAAAAATTACTTTTTAATAAAAATTTTGAGCTGTATAACTAAAAAATTAATTTTTTGATTAAATTTCAGATTCAAAAATTTTGAAATTTAGTTTCTGATGAAATTTTTGTGCATGATATTAAAAAAATGAATTTTTGATTCAAATTTTAGGGTTAAAAATTGAAAAAACTCCATTTTTTATCAAATTTTAAGCTCCTAAATTTAAAAAAAAACCAATTTTTGATTGAATTATTGGCTTGAAAATTACAAAAATTAGCCTTTAATCTAAAAATTTGACTAAAAAACTAGAAAATTAATTTTTTAGACAATTTTTGGAGTCAAAAATTGAATAATAATTTTTTTACTAAAATTTTGGGGTCAAAATGTTACAAAAATTGATTTTTGATCAAATTTTATGCTCAAAAATTGAAAAAAATAGTTTGTAATAAAAATTTTGGGCTTAATAACTAAAAAATTAATTTTTTGATCAAATTCTGAAGTCAAAAATTTTTAAAATTAGTTTCTAATAGAATTTTTAAGTTAAGTAACTAAACAATGAGCCTTTAATCCAAATTTTAGGGTTCAAAATTACAAAAATCAATTTTTGATCCAATTTTGGACTACAAAATTAAAATAATTAATTTTTGTATTAAATTTTTGGCTCCAAAATTAAAATAATTAGTCTTTAATCTCAAAATTAGACTACATAATTAAAAAAATTAATTTTTAATAAAATATTTGGACCCAAAATAAAAAAAAAAAAAAACAATTTTTGATCAATAAAAAAGTGAATAGTAATTATAATAACGTAATGCAACAATTTACAACCCTAAAAATTGCACAAATGCTTACAAATTAATTAATTATAACCCTCACACCTCTTTATTTCGCTGAATTACTTAAGCACCATTACTCCCAAAAATCGCCGAAAATATTACTAAAAACCGGCAAAATTATATCCAAAGGGACTTATATAACCTCTGGCAGAGTTCATTAGAGAAAAGGCTAGGAACGTCGAATAGAATTGAGCAGACGAGACGAGAGACTGGCTAAAAATAGCCGAGATAATGTTTAAATAATTCTTTAAAATATGGAATTAACTATCACTATCATTATTCACTCTTCTCTATACATTTACATATATATATCTGGCGCCGAAACGATCGAAGGCATTTCTCTCCCTTAAGAATAGATACAATCGTAATAGCTACCCTCGCGCGGCATTCCAAGAAAATCAATTTGGCAAATTATATCACACATTACAACAAACTCTCCAAACTTTTTATTATTCTGTAGAAGATAATTTAGAAAAAAGAATTATAAAGTGCACTGATAGAATTTAAGCAAAAATATATTGTTAAAACCCAAAAATCGGTAATTTATTTGATCAAAAGTGTCGCAAACTTCCAACAGGTGGCGCATGGTCGCTAAATCTGCTCCTTTGTAGATAGTTTAGGTCAAATAACTAAATATTGGTATAAAAATATTTCCAAAGCCCTTATCTGTCTTTTTTTAGATTAATATTTTTTATAAATGAGATAAAAATAAAAAATTAAGTAATTAAGCTTGATGTGTCAATGAAAATGTCCGTTGGACATTTTATTTAGAGCGGGTTAGTTAGTTGGGTTTATATATTAATAAGACCAGTTATTGTGATTAGTCGTTAGGTCGGCTGGTGTGAGAACACAAACAGGGTGCTTCCGGAAGACAAGCGGACTCAAAGGGATGCTAGGGAAGGAACTTGTATAGAAGTAAAATAAAGGCTCGAGGTGTATGTTGGCTTAAAATGTAAAATGTAAAACAAAAAATCCGGCAAAAAACTTATAAGAGATTGAAAGATGCCTCCGGGGTCTTTAATCAAATTCACCCCTCGCTGGCACAATAACCAGCGATGCAACAAGGGAATCTCCACGATACCAGTTCTGAGAGCTACATAGTATTATATAGAAATTACTCTTTTTTTTTTTTTTTAAGGATTCTTTTACAGATTCTAGTCCGGCAATGAATAATATCTCACGATAGCGCGAATTTTTTTTTTTTTAGCTCTATAAAAACGTGGGAATTTATGATTTTAATTTGACAGTTTTTGGTACCTCTCAGACGATAATTGGGACATATCTTTAAAATTAATTTTTTTTTGTTAAATAATTTTTTTTAGACATTTCTCAAAATTTTTTAATAATTTTTATGGAAAAAAAATTTTTATTACAATTTTTTTGGTAAAATTTAAATATTTCTTTAGAACCATCTCACAGTTTTATTTTTCCAAATTTACCTTATTCGTAAAAAATTAAATTTTTTACAAAAAAGGTCACATATAATTTTTCATATCTTAGAATTTTTAAATAGACAGTTTTTGGTACCTCCGTGACGATAATTGGGACATCTTTTTAAAATCAATTTTTTTTTTGTTAAAATAATTTTTTTTGAACATTTCTTAAAATTTTTGTGAAAAAAAAATTTTTTTTCCTTCTAAATAAATAAGAAGGATAAAAATCTTAAAAGTATTTAAAAAAAGTATGAATAATCGAGGATGAAAAAAAAATAAACAAGTAAATCCGGTGTCTAACGAGTTTTTACTGAGCGTACTCACTGGGGCAATTAACCGGGGGTTTTCCAGGTAGCTTTTGCAGAGGAAGAATACCTCGAGAGAGCTTGCAGGGGGTGGTGGCGAAATGAGTAAAGCAAAGTACTCTGACTGTGGGTGGAGGGATGAGGGCTTGAGGGATGTCGTGGCTAGAAAGAAACCCGGAAAGCCAAGCAAAGGGTTGTTGTATCGTGTTGCACGGCATTTAAGACTTACACCAGTACTTTTAGGTATTTTAGTTCCGGGGCAGCGTGCACCACCACCTAAACGATAAATACAAACCATTTCGTATCTAATTCATCCCCTGTGTCTTGTTCCGTTCACTAAAAACCGGACAATCCATTTATTATTTTTTATTCTTACTCATAAATTTTATTTATTCCTTCGCTTTTAATTAAAACAAATTATTTTTTTTTTTTCTAGAATTTAGTATCAAAAATTAAAAAAAAAAAAATCTACTTATCACTTAAGTTTGTCGCGATTCAAGAATAAAATATCGCGAAAGGCTTGTTGGTAATTAAAATCCCGGCATAAAACACTCCGTTAACTTTATACCTTTTATAAATACCTTAATATATAAACAGTTAAAAAGGGTTGCAACTGCGAATGTATTTTTTACTCTCTCTTTTTAATTTGTTAAAAATAAACTCTGGCAATTAAAATCATACTTTTTAACGGGAAATTCAATTTTAAATACAGAAATCTCAAGAAATTGTTTTTTAATATAAATTCATTATCAAGTTATTAAAACAGAGATATTTTTTTTTAAATTGCATTTTAATTCAATTAAATTCTATTCAATTATATTAATAAATAGTTTTTCTTGGTTCAAGTTATTTTTTTCTATGTAGTTTAAAAAAACTATTCTTTAGTTTAGGCAATAGAATTTTTTTTCACAAAAATTATTAAAGAATTTTAGAAAATGTCAAAAAAATTTTTTTAACAAAAAAAAATTGATTTTAAAAAAATGTCCCAATTATCGTCAAGGAGGTACCAAAAACTGGAATAAATAAAATTCTGACTAAAATATTGAAGATATGAAAAAATAATACCTTTTTTGTAAGAAATTTAATTTCCTATCTAATAAGTCCTAAAAAAAAATAATTAGTAAGAAAAATATCAATTTTTCAAAATTTTGAATAATTAATCCAGAATCTTAGAATTAAATTGAATTTTTTTTCATTAAATATTTTTTAAAATTCAGCTTCAAAATTTAAAACAAAATTTAATAAAAGCGACATTTTTTCGCTCCACCCCCGAATTTTTTTCTTCGCCTAAAAAACCAGGGGACCGATAATGAAATCATTTGCTCGTGAATCAACTGGGAGGGATTTCTCGGTCGACTACCCCCGAATTTTTTCCCCACGTCTCCTGTCACACTTCAATGACCCGTTAGGACAATAAACTTTTGTCTTTTTTCATTGGCACATACCCCGCAGGGGTATGTGCAACTTTCATCATTTCTTCGACTCCAATCACCCTCGGAATTAGTCTTCCACCCTTTCGGGATTATCCGACACGCTTTCGATCCTTTCGGATTAGGCTCTATTAACTCTCATTCACTCCCAGAAAAAAACTCGTATTTTTTTCAATCAAAAAACCCTGTGTCCAATAATTGGTACCACCTTGTCATTAATTGGGACAAGTCCCCAAAAAAGCGCTTTTTCTGTCATTTATTTCCAATCAAAAACCCCTATGTCCAATAATTGGTACCACCTTGTCATTAATTGGGACAACTGCCCAAAAAAAGCGCTTTTTCTGTCATTTAACCGGCAAGGTGTGGCATAAAGAGGAAGTGGGTGTACATAAAACGTCATCGATGCGTAACAACGTCGTCAATGGTCTCCTTTATCCTTTGGAAGGCTCAAATGGGCCTTGGGGGGACATTTTGCGAATAAACATGCCTGGGCCCGATTGAGCAACGACAACGAGGGCCAGCGAGTCGTCACGCCCTCGTTACCGCCGGAAATTAAGGTCGAGCCGAATAACTTGCAATGTTAGTCTCAGAGTCTCGAGAAATCGCGGCTCAAGGCCTCGGTTTGATATTTTTTTATCCTTATACATACATAAATATATACATACATAGTTACTGTTGTTATTATTTGTGTACAGAGTTTTTGCGGAGTTACTTGCTTGCTATTTTTTATTTATCCGCGGGCTGAAGTACGAGGCCACGTTAAGAAAAAAAAATAATAAAGAGTAAGCCTCAGACAACCTTCAAGGGAAAGAGATATTACTCATTCGTTTTCTCAATATTATTTTTTATTTTTCTTTAATCTTTATCTTGAGCTCCGGCTTGCCTTGTAGAGAAAAAAATGCCCAAGGATTTTTTTAAGAAGGGCTCGGTACTGATGTAAGAATTTAGGGAGCAAATATATATTGTTTAATAATTAAAAATAATTATTAAATTGTTACTAAACAATTATTTCCCTTAATTAGTAATAATCAGTGTTGCAAACTTCCGACACATGGCGCATGATCGCTAAATCTGCTCCTTGGTAGATAGTTTAGGTCAAATAACTAAATTTAGGTATAAAAATTTTTCCAAAGCCCTTAGCTGTCTTTTTTTAATAAATCACATAAAAATAAAAAATCGTTCTATCAGTGCGTAGTTTTATAATACATGAGCATAGAGAGGAAGTTGTTAGGTATGAGGTTGTAGGTTGCAGGTTATAGGCCAGGTTTCAGGGGCGAAAGGGTCGGGGGTGAGGATTTAAGTGAAGAAGTTGGGCGGAATACAAAACCGAGGGTGATATGTATGACGATCAAGAAACCTCCGAGGAGTTCACCCGAAAGAGGTTAACGTAGACACGCACACCGACAACGTCAAGGAAACGATTAGACGGCTAGTTAGTTATCGATCCCTTGATGACTTACCGAGTCATCAACGCGTTTTCGATTTAAAATTCACTTCAAATGTCTTTTCGAAGGCTTTACGCTTTTGTAATATTTAACTGTTTAAATATTTAGAGAAATTCGGGAGTGATCGAAAATTTATCGAGTCGCGTTATTAGCTTGCAAATAGGAAATTCTTTAATTTTTGTGGTGAATTTCAATTATTTTTCAACCCTTTAAAGAGTCCCTAAGGTTAGAAGTTAATTGGATAGCTTAAAAAAAAAAAAGTTTTTTTCCGAAAAGCCTATTTTTAACACTATAATGACAATAACTCTTAAACAAACCGCCGCATTTTAACCAAACTCCATATCTTAACTCTTGGTATGTCCCCCTAGGTCGTGGCAAAAAACGGGGCAATTCGGCCAAGTAGTTTAAAAATGGCGGACATTGCAATTTTTTCAAAAAAATGCGCAAAATCGAATTTGAAAAAAATAATGCAATAAATGTTTAAAAAAATGAAACTAAAAGCAATAACTCTTAGCCGAGAGGATAAAAACAATAATTACGAGGTACATGGGAGCAAACGCCCACGCGTTAAAAATAATCTTCATACAGTTCTCCACACTCGAGATGAGTTGGTTACAAAAACCGTGGATGCTGATGTTGAATAAAAAAAAAGGTAATAAATAAAATAAAAAGCACTTGAAACCGGTTTTTTCCAGTTGGGCCAGGTCGGGGCGTCGAACCTTCTTCTGCCAGAGTCAGCCTCCCTCCGAGAATAACTTGCATGCAATATATCTCCCTCTCTCTTTTTACATCTCGGTTACAAACTCCTCCGCTCGTGTATACTTATTCCAACTTTTGTATTTCTTTTTTTTTACGAGATTTTTTTTATCCATACGCAACCGCGGCTCCAGTGCCCTAGGTCCGGGATTTTAAAAATAACAAGTATAAAAAAAAAAATAAAACATTACACGACCCCCAAATGTTTGCGGTTTGAGGTCATTGCCGTCCAGTCTCGTTTTAGCCTTTTCTCGTCTCTTGTTCACCAATTTTATGTACTTTTTATTGTGCTAAAGCTTCCTAAGTATGTTTTAAGTTATTCTACCCATTTATTTTGCCTATAACTTATGTTTTACCCAATTTTTAGTTTGTGTGAAATTTGACTATTCTCCAGGCTCCGCCGTTTTTTTTTTTATTAAATTAATTTTCAGGAATTTTTTTATTAAATCTCATCTACACGAACCCTAGTTACTGAAAAAAAATACTAGGTAACTTAAAAGTTGGTAGTTTGGCTGAAAAAAAATTTTTTTTATTAAAATACGATCTAAGCTTCAATTAGAAGGAAACTTCTGAATTTTTTTAGTAAATTTTAATTATTTTTCACTTCTTTAAAGATTTTCAAAAACTAGAAGTTAATTAGATGATCCAAAAAAAAAAAGTTTTTTTCCGAAAAGCCTAATTCGAAAACTATAATGATGATAACTCTGAAAATATCCATCGGAACTTAACCAAACTCTATACCATAACTTCTGGTATGGTACCCTAGGTCGTAGTCGAAAACGGGGCAAATCGGTCCACTAGTTAAAAAACGGCATAGATTAATTAATTCATCCAAAAAAAACACCGAAAACGCAGTTCGTGTAAATGAGATTAAAAAAATTCCTCCCACACATTTATATTAATAAAAAACGACGGAGACTTTAAAAACAAATACTCAAATTTTTGGATTAAGCAAAAAAAAATGACCTAGTGTAGTATCAAAATTATTTAGAAAAAAAAAATGTGGCTGTGCGTCGCGCGATGATGATAGACAAAGGACGTCTGGTTTAAAATTACAGTAGTACTTTTTTAATTATAATTATTGTTATTATTGTTATTAAACATATATATTCGCAGCCAATGAGCTTAGTGCATTCATCATCTCTCGGTCTGAAGGCATGGGAGCTAAAGTTTATAAATTTTAAAGGTAGATACTGATGATTATGTCGACGATAACATTCAGCTGTTTAGTCCTCGATCGACTTAATCTGATCTAATTGTCAGTAGATTGTACATGTTTTAAGTATTTAATATGTACTGAGTATCCGAGAATGCTAGTATCAGAGGAGAAAGAACCGGCAACGCCGCTCGCATCACAGTAGACCACCCACATGTTCGAGGCCTCGTAAAAGGTCCAAAGATTTCTTTTTTTTTCGTAACCGAGCATTTTTTTTCACTCGGTATCAATTATAGGTGATTTTTTAGCGATTTTTTTTCAAAAAAAATTGGTAGGAAAAAAAAATTTTTTTTCGAAAACGCTATTCGGAAAACTATAATGATGATAACTTCTAAAATATCCGTCGGAACTTAACGAAACTCAGTACCATAATTCCTTATATGTGACCCTAGATCCCGCTATAAGTTGAATAAAATCAGCAAAGCAGTTTAAAAATGGCGTCGTTTTTTTTATACTTTTTTTGGTTTAAATTTCGGGCACGAATACAATGCTTCTAAAATCTAAACTAATCGTCGGATTTGATCGCACATAGGCTCAAATTACTCAGAAAGAAGTACTGTACACGATAAAAACTCAGCGGGGTAAAATGGACCGGGTTAAAAACTTCCTCAAGCCTGAAATATTGATTCATAAGCCTGAAAGAAATGAATGCAAGCTCACTGGTGCGAAGTAATATAAAATAAAATAATAAAATAACTTAATTGGGCAAGTAATAACTTACACACAATTGGTATCGTCTGTTCTGTGCCTTCCCTGCTGCTTCTGGTAACAAAACAATGAATCAAATGACTCGATAAAAATAAACACGGTAATATTACCCCGGTAATATGTATGGTCCTGTTGTGGCACCGTCCGCGAAATAAAATCCTCCGGCTGCTTCTCTACTACTACTGCTACTTCTACTACTACTTCTGGTCATCATCGTGATCGCTTCACAAAAAACAAAACTAATTATCGCAAAAAACAAAAAAGGAGTTGCAACAGCGTGTTGTGTTCCAGCAACATGCGGGACTAATTGGCGGGCCAAACGCAACAAGCTGTCCAATCTGTCACAAACTCTTCCTCGGCGGCGAGGCACTCATGGAACATATGAAGATCACCCACAAGGACCCCAACGCCTCTGGTGTTGCCAGTAAGTACCTAAAACTTGACATTGTTCTTCAGTCACACATCAAAACTTGTTTTTCTTTGTCTCTATTTTCCAATTGGTATCATATTAATATCAATAATATTAATCATTGTAAGTGGTTATAGTTGTGGTTAGTAACATCTCTATTAACATCTTAGTCCGAGACAAAGAAAGACTTATCAGATTAGCTCTAAGATTATCACATATTCCCGATTCGCTTTGGCGCGGGCATACGTGTCTCTTCTCGGGCAATGGATACTTTTGGAAACTAACTAACTGTTACTAATAATATATTATCCGATTCTTTTTGGGCTCAAGGTTTCTCAATTTGTGTAATGAATCTACTTCCAATTCGTCCAAAAAATTAATTTGGAGCTTCTAAAGCTTTGCCAAAAAAATTTGACAGAACGTATCATTACACAAATTGTCATTAACTTCAAATCAAATAACAAAAAACCATCCATACCTCAAACGCAAAAAATAATTTTTTCCTGATCAAAAATTGAACCCTTATTCTTGAATTGCATTGGTACCCATTAACCTGAAGTTGACCAGTCCAAAAAAATTCTAACCAATTGCGTTTGAGGTGTGCACCAAACCTGGGCCCAAATTAGACCACAATGGAGATCAAAGTATCTATTAGAGTGACTGGAAAAAAAATAGTTAGCATAACACTAAGACTAAGAATAAGAAGAACATGAACGAATGGTAAAAAGAATGAATGACCTAAGATAAGCTTAAAATGTACACACTCTTTGGGTGCTTAAACCTGCTTGGCATTGACCTCGACATTGTGTCGTACTATTGTTCCCCCTGCTGACTGCACCACCTCGGTTGCTGGGGTTTACCTAGCGAAACGTCGGACTGCGAACCATCCTTGCCCAGTATGCGGGAAGCACTACGTCAACGAGGGGAGCCTGAGAAAGCACCTGGCATGTCATCCGGAAACTAGTCAACTAAGTACCAATTTAAGGATGTGGCCGTGTTCTGTTTGCCAAGCCGTCTATACCCATGAGAGTGGTGAGTCTTCTTGATTCTAGATTCTAGCTCCTAGATCCTAGACCAGAAGTTCTAGATATTAGACACTAGCCTAGACTTAACTGTTAATGACAAACCAATTGCTCCTTCTATGACTAACCACTAATTTCTTGTTCCAAAGGTCTGCTGAGTCACATGGAGCACATGAGAATGGATCCCAAGCATCAGTTTGCTGCCCAGTACGTTCTAAGCCGAGCTGCTGCAGAGCGACGTGAAAGAGAGCTTCTAGCCGGTTCTAGTTTAGGTGAGTCATTATTCCTATTGTCCTCTCTTTCCTGATAGACAATGCACTCGGTGATTCCCTCAATTGTCCCATTAGTGGTCTAAGTTTCTTTGCCGGCAAATCTTGCAAGATCTGCTGAGTTTAGCAGAATTTTGGGATTGCAAGCAAACAAACTTAGATTAGTTAGTCCAATCAGATAGTGCCCCCCAATCCTAGCTCCTGATGATGATGCACTTGTTATGAGATCCATATTCTGTGGATTCAGGAGCAGGTCTCGGTGTGTTGACGAGTCAACCAGGTGGACCACAAAATTTACAGCAACCACCAATGTGCCCATCCCCGTCGGCTCACTCCGAGAGCAGTAGCGGAAACGGAAGACTATCTTCGGCCGGTAGTGAACCTGGTACGCTATCGTACTACATTTTATTAAATTAAATCACTAACGATTCCTAGACATAAAGACTATCAAATCCTGACTTCCGTTGTAACAATTGACATTCATCAATCATTCTAACTATCATTCTTGATATTCATATAACAGTGGGGACACTTCCCTTTGGGACACTTAATTCTAAGTCATCATCCTGGAAAATAAGTCCTAATTATTAGCTCAGGACTCATTTTCCAATGTGATAAACTAAAGGACAATCTTAATTAAACACGGTCTAACTGACGCGAGCAGATTTTTGTGCAGGGACCGGGCTACTGAACAACAACAACAACAATAACAACAACAACATGGCATCACCGGGACCAAGTGGAAACAAGCTGAGCGAGATGCTGAGAGCGGGAAGCCAATCCACGGCTCAACAGTATCACGACGAAATGCAGTCTCAGCAACAACGGATGGCGGTGATGGCGGCTGCTGTTCAAGCTGCTGGTAAGAATCTTTTCCAACCTCCAGAATCATCACTTTAGATCACTTCTAATTGGTTATTTATCCAACAGGTCTTCAAAATTCAGTCTCTCCTAACTTGTCATCAGTGGACGTGGCGTCCCTAGCAGCTGCCATGAGAATGGGCGGAAATAACAATGATATCAACGCGAACCAGCAAGGACAGACTGGACAACAACAGCAAGGTGTCCAGAATAACAACTCAGAACAGGCATTGAGGATGCATCAAGCAGAAGCTCTACTTCGATCACAAGCGGAGGCTGCCCTCAGACTCGCGGTAAGTTGGAATTGTTGATGGTGATGGTGGTGATGATGATGATGATGATGATGGTTTTTTTTGCAGGTTTCCCAAGCAGCAGCTGCTGCAGCAAGTTCCGCGGTGGGAAGCGATATGAGGCACCATCTAGGGCAGCACAATGGCGGCGGGGGAGGCTCTGGCATGCCAGGACACCACACGAACCAGCAGCTGTCCCAGCCAGACAGCCTGTCGCCAGATCTAGGTAAGTCGCAACAGCAGCATCATCAGATGATGATGAGGGGACTTAACGAGGACTTGCAATCCCAATCCGCAAACAAGCGCGTCAGATTAACCGCAAGCCTGATTCCATCATCAGGGGAGGCGCTCCGTCTGCAGGAGCAGCGGTTAGAGCAGGCATTGAGGCTTCACGGCGATCCCCGTGCTCTCGGGTTCACGCTCCAGCACGTTGTTAACCAACAGAACAATCAGCAGCCATGAAAGTTCAGTTACTACTGAGACGAGTGGACCCCTTGGGCCAACGAGTCGTCCTACCCGGACCAGAACCAGATCATGCAGCAGCACCTTCATCAGCAGCAGCAGCTTCAGCAGCAGCATCAGCAACAGCAGCAGCAACTGCAAAGGTCAATGCTTGCTGACCAGTCCGGGCAAGACCTTGAAGAGCGTGGTGTTAAAAGAAAAGCCGACGACATTGGCGAATCTTAAACTCACCCACACTAAAACCTCTTTCAAACTCTGTCCAAGCGGTCATCTTCGAAAACACTCACTGTCTCAGCAGTTTTTCACGCAACTATCAACTAAAGTAATTAATTTAACTAATTAATTAGTAAATAAACTTATCGGACAATATTCACTGGGCTTAGGTGTCTTTTGGTGATTATGATTGATCATCTGGCCCAGGTCGATGTGCATTCCATCGATTATTCCGTTACAGAGTCCGTGGAAGTAACCAGTGGCGCCATCTTACATAACGCGCTGGTACTTTCCGGCTCCGAAAACGTGCCATACAATAATGAATTGAGGAACAGACACTTATCGGACATTTAACACACGGGCTTGTTATTTTGTTCGGTAAATTTTGTTCTTAAAATTGATAATAGCACTGTCTCAAAAGACACGTAAAAAATATGTAAAAAATTAGTCCGAGGTATGTGTAATTTTTTTTTACACAACCGATAACTGTCCTGACCGACTTTATCGACTGACTATATTAACAATATTTAATAATGTTAAAAAAAAAAGGTTAAGTTTAATTATACGGTAGGATAAAATAACAATTAATATAACATTATTGATAATTGGTTAATTACACTACACTATTACGCGCAACTAAACTAAATTGTACACATTTGATAATTAGAGGTAATTGTGTGCTTGGCGTGGCACATATTTAATAATAATAATATTAAGGTATAAATAAATTATTAGCTTAAGACGAAATATTGCAGTTATATATATATATATATATATAAATATATATATTGTGTATAATATATATGATATATTATATATGCGTACATCACACACGCGCTGATAACAGTGACTTTCGTCTCGTTTAATGAGAGTTATTAAATATAATTATAAATAAATGCTATATAAATATATATATATATATATGGAAAGGTATATATATATATAAATATGAATATAAATATAAATATTGAAAATAAAGTATAGGGTTTATCAAATTAGGATAAGTGAAACTGGGACGGTAATTAGCCGAGTGACTTATTTCTATTAAATAATTCGAGTGTGTGAGAGTGAAATTTACTCGGATAATTACCGAAAATTGTGTGAATTGGGTAAATGATGTCTGAGTGGTATGTATATGTATTTGTTTTTATATTTATGTATATATATGAGCGTATGGCTGTTTTGAGGCGGAACTTTTTCTGGTTTTGATAAAAGTTGCGGTTTTGGAATTAAAAGTTAAAATTGCACGGAAAGTATTGAGTTTAGAGAAAAATTCAAAGAATAATTTGTTGTTCAGAATTCAATTTTATATAAAGTTCAGTGATAAAATTTCAAAATCTCGGACGTATAACGCCATTTTTGGCCGTTTGAAAAAAGCGCGGAAAAATTGAAATGTGTTAATTATGAGTTTGTAATAAAAACTTAAAATTTCACGGAAAGTATTGAGTTTAGAAAGAAATTCAAAGTACTTTATTGCTCAGAATTGATTTTTCTACCAAGTTAAATAACAAAATTATGTTAAAAATGAGATTGCGATTAAAACTTAAAATTGCACGGAAATTATTGAGTTTAGAGAAAAATTCAAAGAATACTTTTTTGTTCAGAATAAAATTTTCTAAAAAATAAAATAACAAAATTCCAAAATCTCGCCCAAAAAAAAAAACCTATCTTTTGAAAATCCGAAAAAAAAATCACCGCAAAACAAAATCATGTGTTTATATAATATATATGTAAATATGTATGAATATATATATGTACAAATAGTGTATATTAGAGTCCTGATGTGTGGTTGAGGTAATCTGAGGTCCTGTGATCGTTAATAAGGGAAATATTTTTTTATTTTTCGAACAACGTAACATTGCGTCGGTTTCGAATATCTTTTATTAAAAAAAGGTAAATTAAACAATTTGCAATATAAAAACAAAATAATGATTAAATAAATAAATAATTAAATGTAATGTAAAATAAAGGATTTTAAAATCGTTACGTTCTCGCAATATTAAAAAGAAAAAAAAATAAAATTATAACAAATAAACTAAATGGGAACTTTAAATAATTTAAAAAGGGATGGGAGAGATTTATTGTTCTGATAATATATTGAAATAATTATTATTATGATTACTATTATTATTATATTATTATTATTAACATTATTATTATTGATATTTTTATTATTATTAACATTTTTATTATTATTATTATTATTGGTTAAAATTTATCAATTGGCCAATTTAATTGTTTAAATTATAAAAACGTCAATTTTAACGTGGCTTCAAAATAATTCTGTAATTATTTATCGATAACGTAACAGACAATACTTATTTTGTTTTTATTAATTAATTTAAAGAAAAATAATTGGAATAATCGCAGACTGAAGAGTAAGGAATGAATGGAAGCGTGTCGAATTTCGTTCTGCCCAAAATTAATAAATTTCCTACACCCGTTCCTCATCTAAAAAAGGATTTTTTATTTTTATCTAGGCCAGATTGGATCTTCCTTACGTTTAATCGAGAGATAGAGACTTTTCTGATTTTTTGTTTCTTTCCAGATGTTTTCCAATCGCGTAGCTCTTTATAATGTAGAGAAAAAAAATAATTAAATTGCAGGAAATTGTTATTGGGAATTTGTAAAGAATAATTGATAATGATGATAATAATTATTGACCAACATCCGATACATACGAGAACACCTAAGGCTGCTTACTATCCGAATGAGATATATATTTATAAATAATATTTATATAAATATATAAATATGAAATGTCAAGGATTCATCGTAAAAGCTTCAAAGTTTATGTGGATCTTTTTATTTTTGGACTTTTTTTTCTTTAGAGACACGGTAGTCCTCTATAAGATGCGCGCGCATCTTAGAAAGTGACGTCATTTTTTTTTGTATGGTTAATCGAGTTTTAAAGGTTAGATAACGGAAAATATTTGATTTTTGACCATTTTTAAGATGTTTAAAATTTTTTTTTAACCTAAAAATTGCTAAAAATATTTTTATTAAGAATTTAGCTGCAGAAAATTTTTTATTCAAAATTTTTAATGTTAAAAATTATTTTATTGGAAAAATTTGTTTTTTTACCATTTTTAAGCTGTTTAAAAATTTTTTTAAGTTAAAAATTGGTTAAAAAAAATTTTTTTGTAATTTTTAAACTAAAATTCTTGATGTTAAAAATTATAAAAAATTATTTTTATTAAAAAAATTGTTTTTTTTTTATCATTTTTAAGCTGTTTAAAATTTTTCTTACTTTAAAAATTGCAACAATTGTTTTAAAAAGAATTTTTAATGAGAATTTGACTGCCAAAAATTTTTTTTTAATTTAAAAATTGCAAAAATTGATTTAAAAAAAATTTTTATTAGAAATTTACTTGCAAAAAAATTTTTTTAATTTTTAATCCAAAATTCTTGATGATAAAAATTATAAAAAAATTATTTTTATAAAATTTTTAATGAAAATTTGACTGCAAAAAAATTTTTTATTCAAAATTCTTAATGTTAAAAATGATAAAAAACTATTTTATTGCAAAAATTCGTATTTTTACAATTTTTCAACTGTTTAAAAATTATTTTTAATTTAAAAATTGCAAAAAGTGTTTAAAAAAAATTAATATTGAAAATTTAACTTCAAAAAATTTTTTTTTAATTTTTAATCCAAAATTCTTGATGTTAAAAATTATTCTATCAAAAAAACTAGTTTTTTTAATTTTAAAATTGCAAAAATTAAATTAAAAAAATTTTTTATTAAAAATTTACCTGCAGAAAATTTTTTTTTAATTTTTAATCCAAAATTCTAACTATTTATTATTTTATTGAAAAAACTTGTTTTTTTTTCTAATTATTGAACTGTTTAAAAATTGTTTCTTAACTTAAAAATTGCAAAAATTAATTAAAAAAATTTTTTTATTAAAAATTTACCTGCAAAAAATTTTTTTTAATTTTTAATCTAAAATTCATAATGTTAAAAATTATTTTATTAAAAAAGATTGTTTTTTTCCCAATTTTTAACCTGTTAAAAATTTTTTTTTAATTAAAAAATTGCAAAAATTACTTTAAAAAATTTTTTTTTCAAATTTTTAATATTAAAAATTATAAAAAAAAAAAAGTCTAAAAAAAAATTGATCCATATTAAATTCTCAAAAAAAAAAAAAAAATGAATCTTCCCAAAATAAAATATTTCCGTTACAGATATTATTCCATTTTAATTTAAAAACTCACATACTGTAAATACACCTCAGGAAAACCGCAGAACGATCAGTTTGTACGAGTAATAATTGCATACTACTTCTATTCGCATGATAATAAACAAAAAAAAACCAGTTACAGTTACTACAATAATAATAAAATAACAAATAAACAAATAGGGTTAGTTTGTCAGTGTAAATACCTAACGTCCGGAGAGTGCATACCCTCTTCGGGCAACCACACTTCAATTTTTCAAGGATAATATTAATAATATTCGAGCTTCTTATGTTCGTCCAATCGGCGTACATAGCCAAGTACCGACCGACATTTCCTATTTATTTAAAAATATTTTTATTCGGACACGAAAACACACGCACACTCAATTGCCAACAAACAAAAAATAATTATTTAAATAATAATAATAATAATAATAATAATAATATACGGCATTGCGATGGATTGTACAGTTAGGATAGTTAAGCCTTTTAAACATTAACACACTTTTACACACTATTTAACAATGGAAATTACCCAACAGCACTCAATGGCACGACTGGCCTTTTTTTTTCAAAGGATAGGGACCAATTATTTTGGGTTTTAGT